TTTTGCCAGAAGAAGGAGGAAGTCATTAACAGAATGACAAGTCAAATAAGGTATGGACAAGAATATGAAAAAAGCAGCCAACAGTCCCGGTGATCATTTCTGGCACTTTTTCAGGAAATCAAGTGTGATAAGAAAGAAACTGGCAGCATTTGCATAGTTAGTTCAGTTGGCCACTTTGTTCAGCTCACTGCTTATTGCAGCACATTCTGCGCAGCAGAGTCGCGGCTTGAACGACATGCACCACAAGGAACATAATGTTTTTGATGGTGAAACAAACGGCTTGCAGACTGTGCATATTAAATTTAAAGTACATTGTGAACCGCAGGATCAGAAACGGCACATCTTGTACCATGATAGACACCAGAATTTCCCCTAGCACACCCTTTAAAACATAGAAATGACAACCGCAATCACGCCTGGCCTGGACGGATGATTCTGCCTGGGCGGATGATTCTCCCTGGACGGATGCTTCTGCCTGGGCGGATGCTTCTTCCTGGATGGATGCTTCTCCCTGGACGGATGCTTCTGCCTGGACAGTTTCTGCACCTGCCTCAGCATCCGCTTCCGGCAGAGAATTTGATTTGTGCCTCTGCTTGTTTTTTGTCTTTTTCTTTTTGGGTCGTTTTTTGTTGGTTCCTTCTTCGTTTGTGTCAGAAATCCCGGGCTGCGGGAGATCGTTGTGTTGATTACTTTGTATTCGGGTAGGCCTCTGTGGAGGTTCGCGGATGGACGACGAGCTGAACACATCTGCAGACGTCGCAATGAAGCCAAACTGTAGTAGACTGATGTGCCATATGTAAAGTATGGCCTTCTTTAGGTAAACTATCCAGTGGGTAGATTTATCTTCCAAATACGCTAATAGTTCGATGATATCGGCCGCATTGCAAATTTTGACAATCAGCATATCGCTGTTAAAACCCCACGGCGATAGCATGCACTGAGCAAATATTGCAAGAAACATGTATCCATGTGTGACACGATAGAAGGGCAACCTTTCTTTAGTGATCCACGTTTGCTTAAAAATCTAAAAATGATTATTATTAGATTTAAATTTGGTGATAATGCGTGGCCAGAGGCAACACATTTAATCTACCAATGCAAGCGCAGGCTGACATTTTGAAAAGTGTCCTCGGCAACATGTGTTTATATAGCGCACCTCATTAATCCTTAGTCCCAGCATTTTGTTCTAGGCAAACGGTGGTTATAGTGTTTTACAAATGGGGAATTAGGGTATTCAGTGCAATATGCATTATTGACGGCTATATACATTTTTATTTAATTGTATTAAGGAATTTCGTTGATTTCGTTGATATCTATCTACTTCAACTTACCTGGGGTCCTACTTACCGTTCTGGAGTAAGTTTAGTAACTTCCGCGGCGCGAAGCACTGCGCACACCTTCAATTTACGTGTGCAGCAACTTCCTTCAAGCGGATGCGTGAAACAAATTCGATTACATTTTTTTTACTTTAAACTTCTAAAAGTATCTTCCCTGCCTTTTAAAGGATGAGCTCGATCGAAGTAATGGGAAGGCTCAATAGCTTCGTTTCCTAATCCTAACAATGCGCCTACACTAAACGTCAACCCCAGATCAAAAATGTGCTCTCATACAAACATCTACCTTCATTCACATTTTTATAGTCAAAATAAAGCGCAGTTTTGTTTATTGCCAATTGCGCATGGTAAATGTTGCAGATTCGTCAGATATCTCAAGAAGGATACTGAATATGGTTGATATTTTCATTTTCCTTAATATTTATTTATTCTTACGAAACTTAAGAGATAAGAGAGGCGACAATACAGTCATCAGTTGGTTGCAAGATCCACAGTCTGTGTTTGCAGTTATGAAACGCATGTGCGGGGCCATGATAAGAAGCAAGCACAGGGGATAGATGGGGGTTGATAGTTAATGGCTGCGTCTTTGTCTAAATTGAGACCTCAAATAAACCCTGCGAAAACAACAATGTTTGGTGGCTAGTGGTTAGGTCCATGACTACTGGTCTCTACTAAGTGTCAAGAAGGCTTTTGCTGCATATAAGATCGCTGCTAAAATCTAGGTCTGGCATTTAGGAACCTAAACCTGTAATGGAAGTAACAAAACCCTGTTTACGAAACCGCATAGTAAATTGCATGGGGGCTCGTTTCAAGTGCCGATGCACCTTTCTGTATTCAATTTCGTAATATGCGAAGGACGCTAAAATCGCAGTATACATACCCAGAGAATAATAAGTAACCGGTTCGTCATGATGTGCATTGAAATCTCCACTGGATTTCTGTTTTGAAAGTTTCGTGGGACTCAATTCCTTAGGCAACGTGTAGGCCTTCTTTTTTACCAAATGAGTTGCCAGGCTGAATCATGTTGAGATTAGTGGAACATAATTATGTGAAAAATATAAGGATCTTTGAGACATTGTTGTCATTTACCTCATTTTTTGTTCACAAGCCTTAATGGGTTGGTCACAGGGTCTTATGCCTAGAAAGTCCTCTCTGGTAACTATATGGAACACTGTTTCATTCCACGTCTACTATGCGATCTAGTGCATGCCGATTGCCTGGAGTATCAGTTATTTCTAAAAGGTTTCAGAGGACGGCGCATGAGAAAAGAACCATTTGGTAGACAAATTGTCCATGCGGTTAAAATAAAACAGTCCCGTTCGAATTTAATGGATAAATACGACATGGCCGGGGCAATGTGCAAATTTGCATGCAATATCACAATAAGCACTTACCATATAGTTATCACAACCACGGCATTCGCCCTTTTTCTTCTGCAAAAGGGAAAGTAATCCGTTAAATTCACTCATCATTCAATAACCTTTCCAAACCACTTTTTTTCAAGGTCAAAAAATAAAATTTAACTCATAGCAAGCGCACTGTTACTCGCAAAGGAAAAATGACGATTATAATGCTCTACCGTCCCCCTAAACAAAATCCTTCAGTGTAAAATCTAACTTTAAAATATTTGCTTTATACTATAAATCCCAAGATGACTTCAATCTTAAGATAATGCACTCGACACTTCGGTGATAGTTCTGAGCCATTTGCACGTTTGCGCTCAATATGAGCAACAGCATAACACGAATTAGCTATGGTCTTATGATTAAAATAGGACGGACAAGATAAATGCACGGACAAATGCATGGCATCGACTTCGCTTGAGTGACGGCATGAACGTTGTTGGCGGCAAACGGGGAACTGGGTTGCTCCACGATCGCAGAATCATTCTTATGATTCTGGAGCCACTGACTATCGGATGTCAATGTCTGCAGTGTGGAGTCTGGGTCCTGTTTAATCTTGGAGAATAGACGAGTCCTGGTTTCAGCATAGCAAGGTGACTGCGGGGCTCTCACAAAAATGGGGCAATTAAATTGACCTTTTGTCATCTCTCGGGACTTAAACCTTTCGCACTTACGGTTGATGATGCTGGCGAATGTCAAAAAATCTTCTGACTCGTCCTTGACCAGCTTGAGGCACTGGTAACGAATGGTGAACAGGGAGGACCTCTCGCTAACGATTTCTGATAGGCGATTGGCGGTTTATGTCAAAACTGAATTTACGAGGGTTTTTCGGTTGACTGAAATCCGTGTTCCGGTCGTGCTCCTTGGTGCCCAGTTTGCGTGAAAGCAGGCGCACCTTCCAAGCATCATCAGCCTTGGCAAACTCCACACGCAATATGCCTTTCTAACATTCAAGCCAAGCGTTGAAAGTTACGCCGGAGTCGGGATCTTAAGTAAACTGGGTGATAGAAGCAGCTGTTTCGCTCGTTGATGTCGAATGTTTCGCATACGAATCTGGATCAGAAAAAGGCAAGCTGAAATTTTGCATCATGGACTCCATAAACTTCATGTGAGCTGCTCCGAATTGATCTTGTTGTTGCAACAGGATAGCGTAGCAATTGTTCTGCGTAGATGGACATATTGAGTTCTGAATCTGCGTCGCCGATTGTTGTAACGGTATCCAAAGCTGAGATATCACCGCCTAATTACGTCTTGTGCGAGTCCCCAAGGAAGATAAGGACACGAAGAGGGCAAATCCAGAAGTCTTTTAGCGGCATTAGTACAACTGATTTAAGGTAATTAATGCGTGTGTAGCCATGTCCATCGGGCCAATCAGATTCTGTCCTGGCAAGGTTAGCGACACGAATGGCTCGTGACTCAACGGCTGATTATGGCTTGCATTTTAAATTATTGATTTATTGACTGCCAGAATGAGTTAGCCGCCTCTAGGCCAATCGATCACCTACCGTGAGCACGGCTCGCCGTTGTAGGCTGGCTGCCTGCTTACTGCCTGTTAGGCTCCTCCTAACATTACAGACGCTATTGGGCTTGCGCACGCATACGGCCGACTTCGGTCGTGCCAGCTACCTGCGCCCA